AATCAGATATGGCGAGAAGAGAGACCGTTGATCAAGCTAGCGAGGTTTGGGGATTTCATGGAATGTAGCGACTGCACAGAAATCAACGAGAAACTGCACCGTGCCCCCGGCATCAGACCGATCCAAGACACCCGGCAGAGGGCGGAGATTGTTCGTCACCAAAAGGAACACCACCATGTAAGTTCGGCAGGGACACCAGGCGGCCACAAAACAAGCACACACGCGCCTGTCGGCACTTTCCCGTAATAGTTTGTTGCCCTACAGTTGTCGGTTGCCCCGATTTTGATTCCTGTCCCGCGTGAATGCCCCCCTCCTGGTTACGTTTGATGAGCAACCCATGGTCATGGTGTTGATGTGTTTGGCGTCGTTCATGATAGGCCGCTTGCACAGGCTGGCGCCTACGCTAGCTTTCCTCCTCTTGACTCTTCCGTCTCTCCCCTGCGCGGCGTGGAAACACCGACGCCTCCGTTGTCCAGTAGACGCCCTCACCGCGCTCGCCGCCGGTGGTAGCGGACATTCTCCTTTTTCGCGATCGCTTGGGATGTGATTAGAACATTAGATGTTTTGGTTCACGTCCGCCACAGGGGCCCGTGGCGATCCAACATGAGGTCGAAGAGCTCCTGAACGTTATCCAAGTTTATCTTACGGAGTCACGCGAACCCTGTGTCGTGGTCTCTCCCCTGTTCGTGTAGGAATGGATTGTTTGTGATACTCTTCCAACATAAAGCCGCACGACGGCTACATGAACGTGCCTTATCCTCGACGTTCGTCGACGCAGATCGTGTCGAAGGACAGAGAACTCCTGACGTCACGCATGGAGGCCGCCAGACGAGAGCAGGCGAACGGAACCCCGCTAAACCAAGTGACCATTCAACAAGACTGTGCCTGCCAGATTCGCTACGCGTTAGGGACCGTCCACCCTCAAACTCACGTGTCTGAGAGGCAAGTGATCTGGTTCCCTCGTGATTGTACTCCGGTCGTCTCTTGGCAAAACAAGTACGTGACACGAGAACAGTACCTTAGTTCGTAGTGGCACGCTGCGGTTCAGATGGAATGACAGCCATTGACAAGTTATTTTGGTCCAATGCAACGGTGTCACGATTCGTGTAAGCTCAATCAAAATGGGTCGATAAACGTCTACCGTATAGTCCACCCCATCTCCAACATCTCACCATCTGTTGAGTGAGTTGTTATCCATCTATATGTCGACATACTTCGATGATGTTGACGGGTTCCAGTTATTTTCCCTTTTAGTTTCACCTCACCGCGTGTAGAGGAGGTTGGACGGCTCCAAACTTGCTCTTTATTTCATCTTCTTGTTCTTTTATCTTATTTTATCCCTGTGCTGACCTTTCGGGTTCATTATGTTTTAGTACGACGTATACTTGTAGCTGATACCTCTTTTGATGCACGTTAGCCTGTGACCACGGGAATTGACCGCGAACAATGCTGGATTATGGCAGAGAGATTGTGACAGAAGGAGGTACTGGATAGGGAATACGGGACCTTGTTTATTGTGACGACTACTGCAATCTTATCATCGCCTTCCTGCACAACCGTTCGCGTTCACGACTTCAGCGGCTTTTCGGAGCGGCAGAAGGTCATGGCCGTCCAGGCAGAAGGGGCGTTCGTGGACGTCCATTTCGTCCCGCAGACAACAGGTGGAGGTGAGAGGCTTTAAACCTGCATCAAGGCACCCCTTCTGGCAGTTACCTCATGTGCGGGTGTCGCAGGAAGGCCTCAAGTACACAGCTGGTCACCCGATGGGCCACTTTGAAATTCCAAGGGAGCCGTGAATATGTGCAACCTAGCTGTCAGTGCCAAAAAGACGTGTCAGGCGGAACCGCACAAGGTCCCTGAGCCAGCCATTGTGCACAGATGAATCACTAACGAAACAGTAGGTTATTTCACTAACGATACAGGCTTGGTGGGGACCATAATTCCCCTGAACCGTCCGTTCATATTTCATGTGGTCGTCTTTGTCTGGTCTTCCAGGGAGCAACCTGGTGTGCACGGCGCTGTGGTTGGCCCTCAAACGACTGTCTGCAATGTGGACCAAGCCTGGCCAGAGGTTCTACATCAAGCGTCTCCACCTTCAGCTCGATAACTGCGTCGGCGAAAACAAGAACAACATCGTCCTGGCCTTCATTGGCGGATTGGTCGCCGCCGGGGTGATCGGTTCTGCAGAGGTCTGCTTCCTGATCGTTGGACACACGCACATCAAAATCGACCAAGTGTTTTCTCGGTGAGTACCCTTGTAACATCGGAGCCCCTTGTTTGGCCACCCTGCTGCCCCCCCCCCCGGTGGAGGATCGCTTTCTGGGCGTACCCCCCGGTTTTTCAGCATTCAATATCGTCCCCCCCATGAAACCCAAGATTTACATTACAGAACGCGCCCGCAAGTAAGATATGGGGCGAGCCTCAGTTTCCTATTGTCGGCCGAAGCCCAAGCCTCGTTGCTGAGCTTGTTTGGGCAGTTCTTATTTCTTGGGGCCTTGCGGGATATTGAGGGTTACCTTGTAAACAACCCCCAAAAAGGTAGCCCACGTCCACGTTGCAGCCGCCATTCGCCCTCGAGTCTAATGAAGCCACCTGCGGTGGGTTCTTGCGTATCGCTGTATTTGTCTGACATCCAAGACAGCCACCCATGCCCGATACAACAAAAACTTGTACCCACATATAGGGGTAGGGGTGGGTACTGGAGTTCAACGGCCGTTTAATATTTTCACACTCGCTCTACCTAACTTCGTTTCCCATGGTGGTGGAGCGGTCCTGCTCGCAATATCTTATTGGGGTGTTTCTTACTTCGTGGTCCTGGTTGAGCTCCTCGCCCCGACGACTCCCACTCAAACCTACAGGTTCTCTGTGGGTACCCTCGGTCGAAGCATCTTCACGAGGAGTCAACTTGGTGAGCTATTCCGGGAGTCGTACAAGGAACTTCCGGTACACGTAGGGACTCTGACCAACCTCGGCAACTTCAAGGGGCTCTACCTCGACGACAACAAGCTCAACCTTCGGAAGATCCGGAACATCACCACGTTTCGGGCCTTCCGAGTGGGGAAGGTAGCAGGGGAGGTTTCCGTGTGGGCCAAGCGCTTCATGCACAGCGATGCCTGGCTTGGTCTGACAGCGACCGGCGGGGCCCAGGTCGACGCCAACCCACACCGTCTCTTCCGGTTCGCTGCGCCGACTTTCGACAACGTGCCTCCTTTTGAGCTCAAGACGGTCGACCCCACCGTGATCGCCCTCATCGAGAAGCGCTACATCGCGACGCGGCCCCGCCTAGAGGCTGCTTACGCACTAGGTAAGGGGCGTGCACATGTGTAGTATGGTCGTGCTTCGCTCGGCCTCACAGAGCATGAGAGTGGTTACACCTTTCGAATGTAACATTGTCGTTACCTTCCTGGCTAAACCATTCTGACAACGAAGAAAACACGTTCGGAGCTACGGTCGCTCGGAGGACAACAACGAGTCATTTTCACGGGATGTTTGGTCTAAGTATCTTACGATTTTACTTGTTCTCGTCTCGGAGACCTCATGACCCACAACATCTACGTACTTGTAAACGTTGATACTGCCATCTCATCGCGCCCTCGCTTGCGTGTCCCTCCATGAACCTCACTTTCTCTGCAGCTCCTGACGGTGTGGTCGACGCTCTATTGGCTGAGCAGAGCGACTCGCTGAAGTTGTTGCGCTCCGGAGGAACGATCAACAACTTCGACCTCCCAATGGAATGGCTCCACACGGCGATCCCGCCAGCGCCTTTGCCTCCCTCTGCGGGCGCGACCGCGGACGGAGTGGACAACACACCCTCTCGGGCGAACGGGGTGTCAGAGCCCTCTAAGAGAAAGGCCTTAAACCCAGTGCGTCCAACGTCGCTAACACCACCCAGCGTTGGCGACATCGCATTCTTCAAGGCGGAGGAAGCTCCGTTTGTGCTGGGGGAGGTGCTGAGCATAGCTGCAGACGCCTCGCCGGTGAACGTCAACATCCACTGGTATGGGCCTATCAACAATACCGTTAGGGCGGGAGCGGGCAGCGCGACTGTCGAGGACTATGCCGTGGCGCGTTTCAGCAAGGATTTCATCCTAACGAGCGGCGCGAAGCGCAGAACGCTCGATACCAGCGACGAGCCTATCACACGCAATATCGCATGCTGCAGTTCGCTAACTTCAACGGGTAACATCCCGGCGAGAATTAAGAAAGTGCTGATGGAGACTTGCCGGCCTGCACCTTCGTCGTCCTCGGAGAGCGAAGCAAGTGACTCGGACGACGACGGGTCTGGAAGCGGACTCTGAGGAAGACGAGTCCGATGACGACGGCTATGGTTCAGACTAGTCCTGGCGCCTAGCAGGGACTAGATTGATGTCGAGACCGGGGCGTTCTGGGGATCAAGAAGATTTGTACTAGCGGTTTTGCGCCGTACGATGGTCGACATTTGTCAACTTCGAGCTCTGTACCCAAATCTTGTCGTAGGGGCTGTGGGTCTTTCCATCATAGTAACATAACCTCCGAAGTGCCGTGTGCTCAGATTTTTAGCTTTTGCTAGTGCGTCAGGGAATCTATCGAAATTGACCGGAAAACACGCGTAAGAACTCGTAAGAAATCTGTGTCTGCCCGGGGGGTAGGGGGGTGGGGGTGTTGAACCAGGTGCGGTTTGGGGTCCTTGGCGGCGGAACTATCGTGATTTTCGGCGTNCAAATTATTTGGTACTTTTGGTGCGCCAACATGCCCAAACATTTTCTCATTAAAAAAAAAAATATCAATAAGTATAATCCGGTGTTTTTTGCTCCATTAAGAAAGAATTTCCTGAGTTTACAGCTGTGACGGATGATATGAAACAAATTGAAACCTTTAGATTAAATTTAAACTTACCGCTGAGATTAACGATATCTAATATTTATGGAGCAATACGGCATTTGTATGATGTACGTACAACAACCTTTCACCAACACCAGCTCGCGGTGGGAGGGCGACATTTTATAGAGAGAGATGGTTGAAGAATTAAGATGGATTTGAAGAGTAAACGATGGAGGTTTGTCGCCGTGCACTTGGGAGTAAGCGTGCATTGCTTGCCGCTCGCTCTTCTACCCTGGATTCACCTGTCGGTGTGTGTGAGTGTGGTGTGTGGGTGTATGCATGTTGTGTAGTGCCTAGTGTAGTCGAAACCACAAGGAATCTTAATTTTTTTATTCCCTCGTCCAGGCTACTGAATGTTGCATGTACGCGTACATCCTGTTGGATGGTTCGTGTGGTTGCCGTCTTCATGAAATGTCTCGGCTGGACGGGGTTGATGTCAAGGGGAGCAACTGCTGTGCGTGGTGAACGTTCTCTAACGCATGCTTCCCCGCATGCATCCCCGCATGCTCCGCCCTGCAACTTTCGGCATCGAGGGATGTCCAACCATCCATCCTCATCATCATGTGTTATTGTGGTTGACACGACAATCAAAGGTCTCCTCTTCTCCTTCGTTTGATTTCAGAGATAAAGATTGAACACGCTCCGTCGAGGGTCTCAGCGAGCACACCAATTCATACAAACGAACAAGATTATCCGCGCCACCAGGGAAAATACACCGTGAATCCCATCAGAAACCACAAGCCAGTTGAAGCACGTCTTGCGTTTCAATTTTTACACAAGTGGACAGGGCTGCTGACACAGCCTTTCAAAAAAAACAACAATCTTCAGAAAGAAGCAAAATGCTTTAGTTGCTGATTGTTCATATTCGGAACAAGCTTTTCAGCACAGGATCTATCTTTCTTTGGGCACAATATTTCAGTTGCAAATTGAAGTGCAACCAACATGTGCGAACAGTTTTTGTTGCTTGACTGCTACATCTGGGGCAGCTGGTTCAAAGCAGTAGGTGTGGAGAAAAGTACACGCCTGAAGAAATCGAGTGCTTGACTTTTATGTGTTCCGAATTAAATGTTCTCACTCTGAATCTCAGAGCTCACTCTGCATTTGGCGAACATATTGCTTGGTGTGTTGGAAAGTGCATGCGGTGCATGTATTGATTGGTGTTCGTCCTTTTCGACCGTCCAGCTCACACAAACTAGTGCTTTGGGCCCTTCTTGGTGACTTGTGTTTCTTTCCTAGGGTGTTCCCCCTCCATTGGTTGGCAGTTGCTGCCCAAATGACTACTATTGTTAGGGTTGGGAATCGGTTCCGATTCATCGATTGAATCGGACCGATTTAACGAAATTGGAATCGGAAAATTGGGACGATGTTTTTCCGATGTTTCACCGATGTTTTACCGATGTTTACGTTGTACCGTTTGTTGGCCGTACGAAGAGGGTGGTGGCATCCCAGTGCCGGTGGAGGGGTTCTCTTATACGTATGAGTCCGTATACGATGCTGGTGAAGCGCTCTGCCCTCTGACGTGCTGTTGCAGTGAGGTACAGGATTCACATACACGCAACCCTCTCTGGGGGGTACCATTCTATAGTTCTTGCCTACACAAATGCCCCCGCTGTTTCTCTTCTACGCGGAGGGGACGCACACGCGCTGCGTCCCATCCCACAGCGCTCCTATCATAAGCGCATCCAATTCATCTTCGACCTCCACCGGCCCGACCCCCACGGGCCCGGGGGATGGCACCAGAAGTGTGGCGGTGGCTGTGGCTGCAAGCGACCAAAACGCAAACGAAGTTGAACTCGCGGCCAAAAATGATCGCCTTGAGAACATGCAGAAGAAGACAAAGCCTGATGCCGGGACTCATGCTGTGTGGGCGCTTGGCATCTACAAAGTATACGTGCCTCGCGACTTCCGAAACATCGCTGTGTGCTCGTTGTGCATCAAGAATAACCACCTGTCGAACGCCGAGGTCAAGTTCAAAGGGGGGTCTCCCACCAACTTGGTGAATCATCTCAACGCAGCGCTGGCGGGGCACCTTCAAGCTTACCAGCGCCTTCGTACCTCTTCCAGCAGCAAAAGCGATGGCTCGCACGGTGGTGACATCAGGCGTTCACGACAGAAGACACGAGCGCGTTCGTCGAGAAGCTTAGCCGGTTCATCATCATGACCAACCAACCGCTTTCCGTGAGTCGTGTGTTGTTTTTTTTCTGCTCCCTTTGATTGAATTCATGTGTCGAACTTCGATTTTTTTTTTTCTCTGCAACACTCCGCTCTGTACTTGGTCGGCACGCAACAAATCTCTATTATTGCTCGGCTGCCACCTCCCTTCGACCTACTACTACTATTGTATTCATATTAAGTACCATATCTAGTATCGTGATCACCTCTCTAACCGCTCCTGGGTGCAACGGTTCCACAGAATAAGAAATTCGAATTCGACGTTCATAGCACCCAATCATTCAGCCACAGGAGGGGTTGCCGACGCTGTTTCATTTGACTGATATTTACCCCTGTCCGCCTGTTTGGCTGCTGTCCTTACCCTTCGCTTCCCACAAAGTTTCAGATGGTGGAGAACGAACACTTCATCGAGATGGTACGATCTCTTAGATCCAGGGCTACTGTGCCTCACAAACGCCTCTTCCTCGAGAGGCTACGCGGAATGAAGAAAGGGCTGATCAGGAGGTACTTCGGAGGATGACTGGCGAGCACGTTGCCCTCACCTCTGATGGATGGACCCCGGCCAGCAACGACACGTACATGTCATTCACTTGCACCTACATCTCATCCAACTTCGACCTGGTGGCCCTCTGTTTGGAGTGCAAGAAGCATGGATGGCGCACGGCGGGTGAGGATCTCGTGGAAGCCGTGAAAGCCATGATCGCCCGAAATGGTCTGACGGGTCGTACCGTGGCAATCACGACGGATTGCGAGCTGTCCATGGTGAAGGCGGGTCGTCTCCTCGAGGAAAACGAGGGCGTTACCCACCTGGGGTGCTTCTGCCACCGCCTCGAGTCGATCACATCTCAAGCATTCGGCGGCCCGGGCGTGTCGAAGGCGCTGGCTCTTGCACGTGGCGTCGTGACGCGCTACACCATCTCTAGCCAGGCCTCCGATCGTTTGGAACAGGTGTGTGACATCGTGCAAGTGGAGAGGAAGAACGTCGTGCAGGATGTCGAAACGAGGTGGTGGTCGACGTATGTGTCCATCTGCCGCCTTATCTCCCTTCGCCGGCCCATCACAGAGCACGAGATAATCGACAGCACCCCTCCCTTACTTAAGGAGAAGGACTGGGAGGTGCTTCAGCTGGTGGAGTCGCTGTTGAAGCCGTTTATGACGGCGCAGAAACACCTTGAGGCGTCCAAGGAAGTCACGGTGAGGTTGGTGAGCCCGTACATCGCTGACCTGCAGGACGGACTGGACGAAGCGGTAGAACGTCTCCAAGCCCACTCTTGTCCTGCGGAGTCGATCGTGGCCGAGGCAAAAAAGGATGTTATTCTTTGCGCCCAAGCACTTCAGACCGACCTCAGTCGTCGTTGGGGTGACAGAACCGACGTGTTGGTGTACACGGAGGGTCCTCGCCGGCAGCCCCGCGGGTTCAAGAAGGAGCAAGTGCTTGCCACTGCTTTGGGTCCCCGGAGCAAAAGCCTGTATGGGATCGAGGAGACCGAGCACTCGGACGTGTGGGATGCCGGTGCCAACGAGGCGGTCAAGGTGGCCATCGAAGCCAAGGCTACGGAAGACANAGTGCTTGCCACTGCTTTGGGTCCCCGGAGCAAAAGCCTGTATGGGATCGAGGAGACCGAGCACTCGGACGTGTGGGATGCCGGTGCCAACGAGGCGGTCAAGGTGGCCATCGAAGCCAAGGCTACGGAAGACACCCAGAGCGCCGGCGCATCTTCTTCCCCTATTCCGGTTGAACCCGCCGCTGCCGCCGCTCCTCAGCCTCGGCGTCGCCGTGGCGTCGCAGCAGCTTCCGCGGCGCACGGGGACAAGCAGCAAAGTGCCAATGCGAGCTCTTCGCCTTTAAGGCGGCAGATGGAGAGCATCATCAGCCGGGAAGTGGACGCTTTCAAGATAACGCCTGGGTTAGCAGTGTCCTGGGAAGAAAAGGGCCAGGAAGTTCGCGGCAAGCCACTTGAATGGTGGCGTGTCAAGGCGCGGGAGTATCCCAAGCTGGCTTCACTTGCGCGCCGGGTACTGTGCATCCCAGCATTTCAGGCTCAGTCGGAGCGTGTATTTTCATCGGCAGGACTAGTCGTGACGAAGACACGCGCTCGCATGGACCCCGAAAACGTAGGACTGATGGTGTTCCTGCGCAATACTCCACCCGAGGTGGACCGATGGAATGGAAATGGCAACAAGAGGAAGAGCGATCCCAAAAAATGATGGGTCGGAACGAGTTGAAACTATGTAGATGTAACAGAACGTCGTACGAGACAGCGGTTGTGTGGTATCTAGCTTGTTTTACTTCGTAGTTCATTGAGGATTTGCTCAGTTTCAATTGTAGCGATAGCCCGAACCGGCACCCGTTGGTGCCTTTGTTTTTGTATTTTTCGCGTTCGCTGCGTTCCTTTCTCGGTTCCGGTTTTCTACCCCTGGTGGGGGCGGGTAGAATTAGTCCGAATTCTTTGCGTGCAACGCGTGAATGCTACACACACGTCAGAAAATGAACATCAGATGCCTTGTTGATTTCAAAAGATTTTCGAGTTTATGTCTCTACGATCTACACTACTTGTAGTTGTTTTTTCTCCATTTCTTCAGTACTTTTGTGGGTACTGCTCATAGGCCACGTAATATCTCAGGAGCTCACGCATCAAATTTGAGGGGATTGTGAAGGGAAATGAAGCCAAATGGCCCCAAATACTTGCCTCCGGCGGCGCCTCCAGCGGGGCCCCCTCACCAGCCCCGGGGGGGCGATTTCGCTCGCACAGCGAGCTTCGAGCGCCTTCGCGCCGAAGCTCGCTGTGCGAGCGGGCTCGCTGCGCTCGGCGATGTATCGGCGGATACATGGTAACATCGGCTTCGCCGAAAAACGATGTTTAAAACATCATGTAACCCAACCGATTCCCAACCCTAAATATTGTGGGATAGAGGTGGAATGAATAATGTCCGGTGGGAGCAAGATGAATTCTCTGGCCGACACATTGGGCCCAAAAACATCGGTCATGTTCATTTTCCGGGGCTGCTGCGATTACCACTAGCTCTTCTTATTGCCGGCTTCGTGGAATGATGAGTTCTGTGAGCAGCTGATGTCTGCACTGAAGCACAGCACGCTCTTGCGGCCGTCTCGCACCTAGCTACTCGCACCCGACACATTTCGCATAAATTTATGGCTTGACTATACTGTCATATACGTACCCGCTTTGACAACTTTCGCTGTGGAATTTGTAGTGAAGACGGCCGCGCAAAATCCCTACGCCTCTCGTTCCGGCGCCAACAACGAATGCACACAATCGTCGAACCATACTAGAAGGAGAGCCCTGCCGGTGCCACCTGGTGTGTAAATGTGGATCTTAGGGTCGGGCAGTCGGATCAAAGTCACCGGATCATGTGTGCAAGGGGGAAACGCAAACCGCTCGGAACCTTTACGGATACCCCTGTTGTTGGCTTTTCGTGTACGCGGGCCCCTTCAGCTGTCTCTTTTTGGCTCGCCGTGGACACTGCTGTGTGTAATGGATGCTCTACTGGAGGATGTGAGGCAGGAAGCTTGGAAAGGGATGATCCCCACCGAGCTATCTATGGATAGCTCGGAGGTTACTTCTCTCCAAAGGCCGCTTCCACTCTACGTGAGTTCTGTGAAAACCTATCTACAACAGCAGTAAAGTACCAAGCAGAGTACCCAAGGTGCCACGGGCGGTGTTCTCTTTCCTCCCACTTGACATCTTGATCGTGGTTGAGAGTCAAAGCGAGAAAGCAGGCGTGCTCTGCGCTAGATGTGCCCGTGATGGCAGGGGGGAGACTATGATATGGCCGCCACACCGTCGACTTTGACTCTTCACAAGGCTAACTTGGAGCGAGAGAGAGAGAGCTACCAATGGATTGCGGTACGGCTTAAGAGACGGCTACTGCTGTAGACAAGAGACTAGCAGCAGGTGCACGTACGGTCCGGTACAGCAGTTTTGTTGTATTGTGCACACACATATCATACACGACAGCGATACGGTGTGTAGTCGCCCTCCTCCTATGGGAGAGAGGCGATAATCGCGCTGACCTATAGTTTTTGTTGTTATATGAATATTCTCCTCCAACAGCAAAGCTTGTCTGAGCGCGTCGCGTTCTCGAAGTACACCGGTAGAGGTCCCTGTTTTGTGCCGGTACAACAGTATGTGCCGAGAAAATCCACCGGTACTGTACCGGGACCGGCACTGTTCAAAGTACTAGGAATGGCCTGGAAATTCAATTCAGTATGTGCCCGCGGAAAACACCGGCACTATACCGGTCACCGGCACTAATAAGGAACCTCTACTGCTGTACTCCCACTTCATGTGCTTCGCTGTTGAAGCTGCTGCTGCCGCGCATGGGCTTCCTCCCGTGCGTGGCCGAGGCCATCTCGCACCACTTCGGCGAAGTTGCTCCCGACGCCCAGCGCACCCTGTGGCTTGAAGAGACGAGATCCGGAGAGCCGTTGAGATGGTGAGAGGGGGCCGTTTTGTTTTTTGTTTGTTTTTGTTCATATAAAACTCGTGTCAGTTGATAATCCCAAAATCTAGCAAAGACTTGGTCCGTGGTCACAAAAATGCTAGATACAGCCATCAGAAGATCTAACGAACGCAGTCACTACTAGCAAGAAAAGGGTTCACGAGCCCGAGGAGGTACACCTACAATCCCTGCAGCACATTTTCGTGCTCACAACTGAACTACACGCCCACACACTACAATTCGACTACAGCAGCAGCATCACACCCCTTGTCCCAAAATGAATGTTTGTCGACTACAGCGTACTGCTGTCTGAAGTGTTGTCTGTACAATAATAACACCATGGTGCATGGTACACAAGCTCGGGGCATGCAGCTGCTGTCTGAAGTGCTGTCAGAATGAGTCCGTGGACATACAATGAATAAGAACACCCAACCAAAGCCATCATTGCAATTGACAATCATCCGAATCTATCCAGATCATCTGTGTTAGGCACAGCAGCGTAAACGTCGACACTGACTAGGAATCGTTCCACATTGAAGGGGTCTTCCACGATGCAGGTACACAATCAAGGCACCCGGGTTATCCGCGCCATCTCTGCCGCGTCTCTCTACAAAACCAGTGACGTCATCACACACACACACCCAATACCTATATTCAGGAAAAATAACGGAAAATAATTGACAACACAAAAAATGTTTTGTCCATGCTCCACGGTTCGATGCCGTCCGCATGCTCCGGTTCCGCTGCTCCGGCCGTTGAGAAGTTTCAAAGGTTCTCGAAATGGAGACACGGCTGTATCGATGAGAGATTAAGAGGGGTGGACGTTGCGTGCGGAGAGTTTGAAGCTGCGACGGAAGATATGGACCATCGTTGTGGTGGCGTATTACAGCAACCTTGGAGGCACCCAGATCGGTCCTATCGTGCAATGGTATCTCTTGACATAACCGTCGGCGTGCTTCCCCCTGCATGCTATTTCAGTCGCGCTTTTCATGGCAGCAGCACTTCTCTACTAGGCGTCGTCACGAGTGCAGCCTGGAGCACACATACCACGCGCCTCCTCCCCCCTGTTGTTACAAATTTCGCCTTCTAATTGCAGGCATATCCCTACAGGCGTGTTGTTCGACCTGATTGCGGGCGTTGGGCAAGAGGAAGGCGGGAGCGCCGCAGGGGTCGTCGGTGGCGCAAAGCATGGTGAAGCTGTACCGTGGTCGGGTCCCGGGCGTCTGGGGCTGCTGCCGTGGAGGATTACTGTGCACTTCCAAGGGTGCCCCCGGCGACAGGTACGACGTGTAAACCCCCTCCTTCTTCTATCCTGTGATCTTGTTATGGTGGACTTCCCGCTGGTGCTCAGTTGCCCCACCCGTTGTGGAAAGACGAGAGCCGCTGAACTTTGGCCCGTTTGCGAGAGTCTTTGCGGGTATTGTGACTGGTGTATCTCGCGGGGGACTCCATGACGTCATCGTTTCGTTGAGTTTTGGGAAACGTTTCGGAGGGCACGTCCGTCGATGTGGTCGTTTGTTTGTTGTTTTTGTGGTTGTCGTTGCCACGGTGAACGCGTTCTGTTAGTGGCAACAGTATGCTGATGTTTTTCTTGCTTCTCCCTCCACCGGGATAGTTGTTTGTCTGACCGATTGATTTTCCTCTCGGCAGGTGTTTCCCCTAGAGAAGGAGGCGGACATCCGCAGGCACTACACGAACGCACTGAAACAGGCCCTGTTCCTGCAATCCGGCTCTTCCAGGGCGGGGATGACTCTCGCGAAGGAGAACCAGAACCGCTTGTGGCAGGCGATAAAAAGCAGTGAGTGGGGTGCTGGCTGGTTGAACACGGCAAACGCCTGCTGTTATTCTGGTCGGTTTCGAACGGCAAGATGTAGCGAAGCATGTTTGGTCACATGCAACCCTAAGCCACCGTGCAGCCAAGAGTTAACCCTGTGTGGTTCTGAAGTAGCCGGGTATTACGGCGGCATGCCCTCCGAGCAAGGTTGGCAATTGATTGGCTTGAGACCGAATGGTTTCGCTACTAACGGCGCTGCTTTTTTGTACCCCTGGAAGAGGAATGCTCGGGTCAAAGAAGCTTCGATGGCAGTGGTACCGGTATCTGCTACTGCCAGTCTCCGTCTGATCGTATTGAGAGCACTGGAACCCTATTCCCGTTCGCGAGAACCCTCGCGAATGACAGCTCTGCTCGTGGAGTCTAGCCTAGATTTTCGCGCGTATCACCCGTCCTGTTGCTACCACCTCGCCAGGCGAAGAACACATGCACACATAGCCTACGTTACCACCGCTATTTATTTTTTTCGTCTAGAATGGTGCACCTCCCGTTCATACCTCTTTCGTGTTCTCTCACGGCTGGCATCATCGGCAATGCTCTTTTTTTCGCTTTCGTCTCTGCGTCGATCACAACGTCATAAGACGATACCAAGATGTTTCACGAAATGGACGCTTTATTGGGCGGGGACAGGGGAACCGTCCGCCTGGTTCCGGTTCGGCTGCTGACTGGAGGGGCTCCGCCGTCTCAGCTTCCTATTCCCGCGCAGCGACCAGACGGTAAGATCACCAGCAGTTGGGTGGGCACTTGGTTGGTGGGTGGTGCTGCTGTACGGGTGGTTTGATCAGTGTTTACTGTCCGCCACCCACAGCAAGAGCTACGATGATCCGTGGTGATGCCAAGAGATGGTTTCGTTAGCCGGTAGTCGTTCTGGACATGGGAAGTATGCATATACATCTCCCCTACGGTCACACCAAGGCTGGACCGCCAGTTTCAGCTTGAGACACGGGGGATCTTCGTTCTTCCACACACCCCTCTTCTCAGTTGGTCACAGACGGTTGACGGAGATCGAAGTTGTGCATGTTTCTGTGATAGACGTTGAAGGCGGGATGATATCAGTGGAACGCGCAGCACTACTCTTTTTCAGCACGACCCCCCCCCCCCCCCCCCCCCCCCCCCCCCCCCCCCCCCCCCCCCCCCCCCCCCCCCCCCCCCCCCCCCCCCCCCCCC